CAAATGAAATAATGATAAATAAATAAATAAATAATGATAAATAAATAAATAAATAAATAAATGAATAAATAAATAAATAAATAAATAAATAAATAAATAAATAAATAAATAAATAAATAAAAATTATCAGAGTGGAAGTCAAAGGGATACAATAAAACTAAAATGAGTTAATTAAAAACAAATCATGTTTCGTAGAACCATTTAATGAAATCAGGTGACTGTGTTAATCTAAATACAATGCTGTGCTTACCACCTCCAGTCGCAATGACTTTGGGGACTTCTGTCTCCATCTGTGCGTCCTCGATGTCAAAAATACATCCGGGAAGTTTCACACATATCTGTTCTTGCGGTCTTGAGTATTGGAACTGAACTTTGGCAGCTGATGATGACGTTACACGAGAACACGAGGACGCAAGACTGCTGAAGAACGCATATTGAGAAACAGCCAGTGTATACTAGAAACCTTCAGGCAGGTGTGTTGAATAAAGTTGGACCTAAAGTCAGCAGGATACTGGCCATCCAGCATCGACTTTGGACACCCCTTGAGTAAAGCAACAAACATAATTATGTATGTAGTATAAATCTGCCAGCATGCCCTCTCTTGCACAGGGATAATGTTAAAACTCAATTAAAACTCTAAATCGAAACTCTTCTAATTTTCCAAAAAAGAAGTGAAACACTATCTTTATCTTTACATAAAAAATTTAGTTTTACATTTAACTCTTTATGCAAACCCATATAAAGCATGCTGGAAACTTTCAATTCAAGTAGCCAACATTTGAGCTCTTCTATCTTGATTTACCCAACTCAATTAAATTAATACTAGAATATCAATAAGTAATGACAAAGGACATGGTGAATGATCTACATTTAGGCTTTATATTTCTTTGATACATGTACATGTACACAAACCAAACATGTCCTGAAAAACCTCAGAAAATGCAGTAAATATAAGGGTAGAGCATTATAAACACTCCATTCTTTTCTCACACTTCATTTTCTTTTCTGACTACCTCATACTAAACCACAACGTGACATTTTTAGTGGATGGAGCCTTTCTGGGGGTCAGAAAAAGCATTTCTCTAGCTCTTTCAGTCTCATTGGACTATTTGGAGTGTGGCGTTTTTACTACAGCATATTACTAGTACTCCTGTATTTGAGATCTGCTGATGTGATATTAGTAATAATTTTCAAATATTGCGTGCTTGAATCTATGTTTTATGGCTCGACTCCCAACTTTGATAGTCAGATAATCTACGGATGGAGTCGTAATTAACACTAAATCTCTTTTAGGCCTCACAGTGTTGAATTTTATAGATGCCTTACAGCTGTGGATATATGTAAATGCATTACAGATGTTTAAATCCACATGCATATACTGATTACACTCAGCGCAAATGGAAAAAGTTTTTTTGAAATTCAAAGAGGCTTTAGAAATGACCTTCTCACGTGGTTTAATAGAACAGGACTTTCCTCGACGGGTTGCTCCATATCATTTTTCTTGCCTGCAGGCAATATCAAATCCCAGTCCACACTTATTGGAAAAGCAAAGCAACACTTCACACCAGTGTTGATCCATTCGTAGCACTAGAGTAGCACTTGCTTTCCAATTTTGGAGATTCATATCACTTCAAAATAGAGAAGCCAGAGTAAAGTTTATCTTGGGGGAAGACTGTGATTTCACTGCCCAGTAGCTGCAGCCCCCCTGGACTTTAAATCTGAGGCTGTAGATAGATGCATAATGGAGCAGACAGAAGATTTGCTAGTCCATGTGTTCAGTTTGGATGCTCCTGATAGAAAGTGTTGGAGATTGGAAAAGAAAATGGAATGAAAAAAAAAAAAGAGTTGGTTGTAGCTAGATTTGAATCTTTGATATTTCTGCATTCATATTTCTGTATTTTTGCTAATCATGTTTTGAGTTATATTTTGATATAATTCTAGTTTTATTGTTTATAATATTGCAATATATTTGCAGCAAAACCTAAAGTTGGTGTTTGAGTGTTTCAGAGAAGATCACGTTTGATTGAGATATTCATATTTCAGTATTTTTAAATTATTGTGATTATTCTTGTAGTTGTTGTTGTTACAAATTGCATTACCCATTACATACAGTTGAAGTCAGAATTATTAGCCCCCTTTTGATTTTTTTTTGATTTTTTAAATATTTTAAATATTTTTTTATTATTTGTTTAACAGAGCAAGGAAATTTTCACAATGCGTCTGATAGTATTTTTTCTTCTAGAGAAAGTCTTATTTGTTTTATTTCGGCTAGAAAAAAAAGCAGATTTTAATTTTTCAAAAACCATTTTAAGGACAAAATTATTAGTCCCTTTAAGTAAATTTTTTTTGATAGTCTACAGAACAAACCATTATTATTCAATAACTTGCCTAATTACTCTAACCTGCCTAGTTAACCTAATTAATCTAGTTAAGCCTTTAAATGTCACTTTAAGCTTTATAGAAGTGTCTTGAAAAATATCTAGTCAAATATTTTTCACTGTCATCATGGCAAACATAAAATAAATCAGTTGTTAGAGATGAGTTATTAAAACTATTATATTTATAAATAGTCTGAAAAAAATCTCTCCGTTAAACAGAAATTGGGGAAAAATAAAATGGGGCGAATAATTCAGGGGGGCTAATAATTCTGACTTCTACTGAATGTGATACAAGTGTTTTTTTTTTTTTTGTTTGTTTTTTTGACAAAAGTTGACAAAAGTTCTGAACGAGGCATATTTCATTATTGGTACTGTTTGTATTTCAGTTTTATTTATTTATAAGTTGTAAATTGGTAAATCTGTTTACTATTCTGTTTTCTTTTCTCATTTAGGAAGGAAAGAGGTTAAAATAATAACCTGTTTAGTTTTTATGTGTTCTAAATTATGAATCTCATTTGTGGGTTTTTGTGGGCTTATGCTACTTAAGCCGAGTTCATCCCTAATAGTTTTTTATTAAAGACGGGTTTTGTGAAATCACAGACAAATTTATTAAATCATAGAAAAGTTGGTACATGTTCACTTGAGTGATCTTTTGACTAAAAACAGATTGGCGATGACCTACAGTCAATGGGACAGGGTAGTAGGAAGCTTCGGGATGAGTTAACGCAATAGCAAAATAAATAAGCTTTACTATGACACTTAACAGAAACGAAGCATTCCTAAATTATTAATACTTGTTCCCCGCATTTCCATTTCCTTAATCTATAACCTATGTTCTTTGCCCCTTTGCTGAAAATCAGCAGTCTTGCATGTTATCTTTAGGCACTTTCCTTTCACTTATCATGTGCGTTTATGGGACAGACAAAGCTACTGTAAATTGTAAAGGGTAAATTGGATTTTGCAAGTAACGTCAAACAAAAAGTCACACACAACATTAGTTTTGCTGTTAGGGGTTTAAGATATCACATTGAATTGCAGAATTAGCTGCAATGCTTAGTGTATTGCACAAGAACTAAAGAATTTGCAATAGCTATTGGCACCTGATGATCAGAAGGTATTGAAACATGAGGTTGCAGTCAAATCCCACTCCTACATAGATACTAGCACATGTTACTAGTGTGAATGAATGTCAAAATATAATATACCATTTTTTTAGAAGGTCGAGACGTGTCCAGTCAAAATGTATATTTTTTATAATTGCTAGTGGCATAAATACTTGATATTTATTGTGCAGGAACAGAGCATTGCATTTAAAGGGAAATCAAATGTATTGTTTTTAAGATACATATCAATATTTGTGGCATCTAAATAAGCTATTAAACAAAATCTGATCTTCACTCTTCACGATTCAAAGGATTGTAGTGGGCTTCTACATTCAACATGACCTCCATGCCAGCTAGAACATGTGCTACTGGTTAGCAGGACAGCGAGGGACTGCGATAGCATCACTCCCTCCTTCCTTCTGTCTTAAAAAAGCTCTGACTCCTCCATCCTGTTAATAGACCTCCAGAGTCGTGCCAAACCAAGAACACAGTAGAAAAGGTTGTGTGTTTTTTTTTTAAATAGTTCCTTTGAGGTGTGTTCAGTGAAGAAATCAAGAGTTTGTAAATAAAATAGATGTGTAGCCAGTGAAGTAATAGAAGGTCTATTTATTCAATTTAAGAAAGGAAAATGACTACTTTACAGAAAAGTTAAGATAGTTTGTGATCAAATGAGATATAGGTAACACTTAAGGTTGCATTAGTTAATGTATTTACAGTACTAACATGAACAAACAATGAACAATACATTTAGGACAGTATTCATTCATCTTTCCTAACATTAAAGAAAACAAAAGTTCTTCATTGAAGAAAAATTGAAGAAAGTTCTTCATTCTTCATTATAGTCAACCAGCACAGCTTTAGATTTTATTAAAGCATTAGTAAATGTTAAATTATGAATAATAAATTATGTACAAGTATTGTTTATTCTTATTTCATGTTAGCAAATTCATTGGCATTAATGGAAACTTATTGTAAAACATGAACAAGATAAAATAGTTGTTCATTATTTATGATAAGGGCCAGACATGATCTGCTGACTTCTTTGAACATATTCAGAATGATATGCATATAAAATCTAAAAACATAACACATACAATATAAAATAAATTTCACTTTTATTCAAATCCAATTACCCAGAGTTGTTGTTTGGTAAACAAAGCTACAGTAACCTTCTTATATAATACATCCACTAAATGACAGAAAATATTACTTTAGCAGTTGGAGTGTACACAGATAATCTAAGCATCTGCAAATTATTCAGCAAGATTACAGAAATTTAGAATACAATTTTATGAATCTGTATTTACACATTTAAATAAATAAATAAACTCAAAAATCTGCCGCTTTCTCCAAGATATTTTCTATGCACGCAGATTCCATGTGGGCCTATTCTGGAGTCATTATTTGAATTATCAACACTTGAGTTAAATTGAAACTGTTATGCTGGGTTTATTGCGGATTTTGTTTTAAATGCCACACTACTGCCAGTCTCTTTGCTAATCACTTATTTCCTCCACAGATGTCATGTGGCAAATAAAACATGCCCAAAGAATCACAGCTGGAGTAATCACTTATGCAAATGTGTGCTGCTGCCTGACACCCTTCATTCAAAACCACATTCTGGTAAGTGCTAATGCACATGTTTACAGTGTTGTTCATAAGTGTTTCTTTGTGAAAGAGAAACAAATCTATTGAAAAGAGGGAAATCATGAGAACTCTTCCTTACTGACTTCAGTTTTGATGTTCAGTTAATTCTAATGGATTTATTCTGAGGTCATATCTTGTACTGAAATTATATGAAGCTTTATAGCATGCTATGACAAATTTAAGGGCACGTCCTGAACACACAGTAATTTAGCACAAGGCTGAACCAGAAAGTTGTGAAAGTGACTTGTTTAATCTTCCTAAAGAAAAGTGGACCAAGTGGTGTTACATCAGTTGGACTGCAGGGTGAAATCTGCTTCTATTTGGACAGAAGACATACAAAACACTTCCCAAAACAAAGAAAACACAGAATTAGAACAAAACAGGACAACACTATTTTTCCAACAGTTAGTTTGGGATAGGCGGTTCATTCCGCTGTGGTGACCTCAGAGTAATAGAGACTAAGCCGAAAATAAAATAAATAAATGAATGAATGAATGAATGAATAGTTTGGGTTAATACCAGTTGCACTAGGGTATGCATACCTTTATGCATAGGGTATTTTAACTGTTATATATATATATACACAGTGGGGATCGAAAGTTTGGGCACCCCAGGTAAAAATTTGTATTAATGTGCATAAAGAAGCCAAGGAAAGATGGAAAAATCTCCAGAGGGCATCAAATTACAGATTAGACATTCTTTTAATATGTCAAAAAAGTTTGATTTTATTTCCATCATTTACACTTTCAAAATAACAGAAAACAAAAAAATGGCGTCTGCAAAAGTTTGGGCACCCTGCAGAGTTAATATCTTGTACTGCCCCCTTTGGCAAGTATCACAGCTTGTAAACGCTTTTTGTAGCCAACCAAGAGTCTTTCAATTCTTGTTTGAGGTATCTTTGCCCATTCTTCCTTACAAAAGTCTTCCAGTTCTTTGAGATTTCTGGGCTGTCTGTCACGCACTGCTCTTTTGAGGTCTATCCATAGATTTTCAATAATGTTGAGGTCAGGAGATTGTGAAGGCCATGGCAAAACCTTCAGTTTACACCTCTTGATGTAATCCATTGTGGATTTTGAGGTGTGTTTAGGATCATTATCCATTTGTAGGAGCCATCCTCTCTTTAACTTCAGCTTTTTCACAGATGGCATCAAGTTACCATCCAAAATTTGCTGAAATTTGATTGAATCCATTTTTCCTTCTATTCGTGAAATGTTTCCTGTGCCACTGGCTGCAATACAAGCCCAAAGCATGACTGAACCACCTCCATGCTTAACAGTTGGACAGAGGTTTTTTTCATTAAATTCTGTGCCCTTTCTTCTCCAAACGTACCTTTGCTCATTCCGGCCAAAAAGTTCTATTTTAACCTCATCGGTCCACAGAACTTGTTTCCAAAATGCATCAGGCTTGTCTATATGTTCATTTGCAAAGTTCAAACGCTGTTTTTTGTGGTGAGGACGTAGAAGAGGTTTTCTTCTGATAACTCTTCCATGAAGACCATATTTGTACAAGTATCTCTTTATAGTGGAATAGTGTACCACAGTTCCAGTGTCTGCCAGATCTTTCTGGAGGGATCGTGCAGTCAAACGTGGGTTTTGACTTGCTTTCCTCACAATCCTGCGAGCTGTTCTGTCTGATATTTTTCTTGGTCTTCCAGATCTTGCTTTAACTTCAACTGTTCCTGATGACTGCCATTTCTTAATTACATTCCGAACAGATGATATTGGCATCTGAAAACGATTTGCTATCTTCTTATAGCCTTCTCCTGCTTTGTGAGCATCAACTATTTTCAGTTTCAGTTTTCTAGACAACTGCTTAGAAGAACCCATGATGCTGATTGTTGAGGCAAGGTCAGATGAGTTTGATGAGTTTGGAAATTTAAAACCTTTGAGATTGACATCACCTGGTCTTTTTAGACGATGATTGAGAACAATCCATAACACTGTCAGGTCTCAGCTTTCCAAAGGGGGAAGTGCTTGCTATTAACTCTGCAGGGTGCCCAAACTTTTGCAGACGCCATTTTTTTGTTTTCTGTTATTTTGAAAGTGTAAATGATGGAAATAAAATCAAACTTTTTTGACATATTAAAAGAATGTCTAATTTGTAATTTGATGCCTTTTGGAGATTTTTCCATCTTTTCTTGGCTTCTTTATGCACATTAATACAAATTTTTACCTGGGGTGCCCAAACTTTCGATCCCCACTGTATATATATATATATATATATATATATATATATATATATATATATATATATATATATATATATATATATATATATATATAAACACAGCTCTTTTTTCAAATGTACATTTCATTAACTGTTAACTTTGTATAAAAAAAGGCACATATACTAGACAAGGATGAATCAAGTGATATCAAGTGAAGCATAATTTAATTTAAAGGGCATGTTCACACTTGGAATTTTAGGTTTAATTAAAATTTACTTTAGTTCATTTCATATGATTAAGTGACAGTGCTGTCCTCCAAACCTTGGGAAAGATGATATAAAAATATGAACACAGACAAAAGAAAAATAAAATAAAACGAATATAATTTTATTTATTAATTATAAATAAATTTATTATATATAAATATAATTCCCTGTAATTGTCACTAATGTGAAATAGAACTAAATTTGTTGGCATCATACTGCCCTCTAGAGTTCATTATATTTTGAAACTGCATTCAAACGCATGCTGAAGTTTGTTTTTGCAATGTTGCAATATTGTGAGCTGAAACATGTATTTCCAGTGAGCCTGTTATTGTCATGACTGTGTTTGTCCACCAGATGCCACTGTAGTTTGCCAGCAACTCCTAGCGAACTACAGTGGCTTAAGAACTACATTTCCATACATTCTTTCGCGCACACACCCGGTCTTTCATATACACTGATTTGCAACCACAGCTATCTCTGTTCACCGTTGATTACCTGGACTATTTAGTCTATTTAGTCATTTATCCTCTGTTCATCAGTTCGTATTCGTCCTTGTTAATATGTAGTTCCCTATCTTGCTCTTGTATCTTGTCCTAGTTGTTAAAGTCTAGTTTGAGTATAATCTGTTTGAGTTCCTCGTTTGTTTGTTTTGTTGGCTACTTTGTCACTTTGATTTTTGGATTTTTGTCACTGTCGCTGCACTATTTCACATTCAAAATCTGCACTTGCATCCTACACCCTGTTTTTGTTCCTGTTTCGATCCCGTAACGTGACAGTTATTAAAATGTTTCCAACAGAACTAAATGTTTAATTTTGTTTTTGGCTCCAGGCCAAAAGAACCAAACAAATTACAAATGTGAACATACCCAAAAGACTTTAAAGGATGTTCTGCTGTGCACAAGAGTATGCTTTGAGTGTTAAATATGGCATTGTTTACAAAGAATTTCAATATACCTATTGCAAATGTAGTAATTCATAGATTTTTTATGCACACTTAACTAACGGATGAAATACAATTACCAGCCCAGACTAAAGAAGATAGTTTGTGATCAGAATAACAAAGCAAACCTCTATATTTTTGCCAGAAAAGCAGAACTCACCAATCAACACCCATGACTACAACACCACAAGGCCTATAAAAAACACATTGAGTTTTCTGTATTGCTGCCAGAGTGGCTGCTTTCTCCATTGTGGCAACAATTGTAGCTAAACAACCCCAGCATATTGTGCTTGGTTAAAATGTAATGCTTCTCACTATTCTAACTGATCTCGAACCAAAAGTTTTAGCTCAGGTGGAGTATGATGTAATTCAGGTTCAATGCAATGGCAGTGACATACTTGTCTACTTACGGTTAGCAAATGTGACGGGTCAGACCTGATGCAAATATAGCAGTCTGTCGGTTTATACATGCGGCATAAGCTATGCAGTCAGAACACCCTGAGGCGAACATAAGTCCAGAGTCCTGAGAGCAGCAGATAGAGGTTCTCAAAATAGACATGCATATACAGTATGTCGCATGTGTGTGCGCAAATATTGGGGCACTGCATTTAATTTGAAAAGACAGTTTGATTTGGTGTGGTTGGTTTTGTTGCTATACCTTGCTGGCCAATTATGTTGACTGTCATCCTGAAGCAGAACAATAGATTTGTGTTCAACCCCACTGTAGGTTGGGGAGTGAAACATGGGTGAAATTAATCTTTGCTAAAGAAGACACACTAGGAGGAATGTGTCAGGATTGTTATTCTTTTTTGCTTGCTTCATGAAAATGTCCCACATCACCTTTTACTTGGCCTCGTTTTTGACAGAAATGCATTAGTTCACCCTGCTTGCACATTATCTTGTGGGTCAGCTTACTTTGAATACTGTATTTGCCAACCAATGCAGATTTGCTTCTTTCAAGTTGTGCAGTTTCATAAGTATGCTTACAAAGTAAAGGCTCACTTCAAGGTCTAGCAAGATCTTCCTCAGCTGCAATGACAAGTTACATAAAATATATTCATGCTATACTGAAAAAACAAAAGGTAGCAAGATTTTCCTCAGCTGTAATGGCAAGTTTCATAAAATGAGTTGATGCTATACTGATATAAAGTGTAAGGGTCATTTTGTCTCCAGTTTCTGTCGCTCTTTTTTCATCTCTTCCCCAAGTCTGTTGTGTATGTCCTCAGAGGCACATAAGCATAGCTGAAATGCTTTGAGAGCAGTTATGTGGCTTGACCATGACAGAGCACCATTGCAAAAACATGGATTGCTGTCAGAGTGTGCAACTTTGGCTGGATTTTGTTTGGTGTAGCATTTCACCGCATATACAGATTTTTCTTGTTTCTGTATATGGGTTAAAGACAAAAAGGAGTTTCCAAGCATCAGAACAATAGACATGTAATAGGCTTTTTGTTTGTTTGCTTTTGTACGTGTTTCATTTTTAATAAGCCAAAAATTATATAATATTATATTATATTATATTATATTATATTATATTATATTATATTATATTATATTATATTATATTAGCTCCCAATGCTTTCCTGTCTATAATCTCCACTGCCCCATTATTATAAAGGTGGAACCCCCTAAAAAAATTAGAAAAAGAAGAAAAAATTCACATTAAGATATTAACATCATTAATAACATAAATATTAATAGCATTGACATTTAAAACCTACAGTTAGACAACATATTAACTTTTTTTGGTTATAATAAATGTTATTTGTGTTTCAGTCCCATGTTATATCAATGCTCATTTATTCATTAATTTTCCTTTGGCTCAGCTCAGTCTCTGATTTTTCATATGTCACTTTTCCGACATATGTTTTATGCGGCGGATACCCTTCCAGCTGCAAACCATTATTGGGAAACGCCCATACACTCTCGCAATCATACGCACTACACTACAGCCAATTTAGTTCATCCAATCCACATATACCGCATGTATTTGGACAGTGGGGGAAACCGGAGCACCCACACAAAAACTGAGAACATGCAAACTCCACACTGAAATGCCAACTGGCCCAGCCAGGACTCGAACCAGTGACCTTCTTGCTTTGAGGCGACAGTGCTAACCACTGAGCAAGTTATTGAAAATAGAACAGGCCATTCATGTTATATTAATGATGCTTTTAGAAGGTATTTCTAATGTTATAAGCTAACATTTGCACAACTTTTAAAAGAACAAGTGCCCTTCACATTATTTTAATCATAATAAATGCAGACTTGAAATCTCAAGTATGGTAAATGAGGTTAACCCCACATCTCTCAAAGGGAATACATTCTGTGAAATCATATATGCGAGCTCAATCCACTGTGCCTTTTTTAAAAATCCGTCTGTGTTGTGAAAGAAGTCGTTTTTTAAATGAGGTCTCTTCAACAAAACCAGACCAGCATGGTACCTTTCCAGTGAAAACCAAATATACTTATTTTTTTATTTACCCTAACAGAGTTTCCCAAGAGAAATGTCTCAAAATGGCGATGGCAAACCACTCTACAAAAATACCACCATGACACGAATGTGACAACAACCAAAAGTTAAAATCTTTCTGCATTAAATGCCATAATGTTCAGCTAGTATGCAGATACAGAGACAACATACTGTGAGTTTATATTGCTGATTATAAACTCTAAGTTTAATGATCTGCCAACAAATATGCCAATAAAAGGATTTCAGAGACCATTTTATACACTTCTATACAAAGAAAAGTGTATACATACTCGAATTAGCCACCAAATCTAACATTTTGATCGAGTTTGTAAAGAAAAACGTCTGTATTTAGGCATTTTGGGGTAATGTATGAATTTTGGGTAGAACTGCTGTATTGCTAAACAGTTGCATGCTGGACATTGTTCTTTACTTATGTAACACTCTGGGAATTGGCCAGGCATTCCATACCACTGACCAAAGATTTCCTCACAAAAAAGGTTGTAACATGAAATAAAGACTTTGTTTCTTGTCACTCTATCTGCAGATTTTGAAACGGACTTTTGCGGCCCTGACAAAGAGCTGGATGAGGAGACGTGTCAGTGTGAATGCCGAAAAGAGCTAAGAAAAGCAGGCTGCGGACCACACCATTACCTAGACAAGAATACATGCCAGTGTGTGTGTAAAGCACAGCCGTCCTCCTGCGGGCCTCAACAGAGCTTCAACAGGGACACCTGCCAGTGCACCTGTGCCAAAGTGTGTCCGAGGAGTCAACCTCTCAACCGCACCAAATGTGTGTGTGAATGCACAGAGTCCCCTAACAAGTGCTTCTTAAAAGGGAGACGGTTTCACCCGGCCACATGCAGGTGAGAAAAGATTGTCATTATGCAATGCCTTAGTGTTAAATCATTTTTTTCAGCTGTCATAAGAGGTACAGGTTCCCCCTAAAACATTTTAGTAGTTTCACATTTTTCTGCATTCTTTAACTTCAAATCTGATAAACTCTCTCCAGCAAATTCACATCATATGAAAGTGTTGAAACCAGTAGAAAATAATATGTCATAATGTGTCCTACTAGCAGAATTAATAATAATAATACTACTACTACTAATAATAATAATAAAGGAAACTTCTGAAGTTTGACTATATATATACACACACACACACACACACACACACACACACACACACACACACACACACACACAAAACAGTTGAAGTCACAATTATTAAAACCCGTGAATTATTCGCCCCCTGTTTTTTTCCCCTTGTTATTTTCAACACATTTCTAAACATAATAGTTTTAATAACAAATAATTTAGAATTAATTAGGTTAACTAGGTTAGGTAATTAGCAAGTTATTTTGTAAGGTTGTTTTTTTCTGTAGACTTTTTTCAGGGGAAAAAAATTGCTTAAAAGTGCTAATAATTTTGATCTTAAAATGGCTTTTATTTTATTTTATTTAAATTCTAGCAAAAAAATTATAATAATAAATAAAGACTTTCTCCAGAAGAAAAAATATGATCAGACATACTGTGAATATTCCATTGCTCTGTAAACATCATTTGGGAAATATTTAAAAAAGAAGAAAAAAAATCAAAGGGGGTGTAATAATTCTGATTGCAACTATATACAAATTAATTGTCCGGACAAATAATCATTTGTATAACCAAACATAATTAACTCATTTTCTCTAAATTAAATTACAGAAAACTGTTGAATTTACAATACTTACAGCAAAAATAACTGTAATTAACTTGTAATCCTGTGAAGTAAAAAGTAATCTTCACTTTATCGTTAAACTACATAAGTAATTTCAAGAGTTCACACTTAGCTCATGATTTATACATAGCTTGTTTGGCATGCTGTCCCGGGAGAGAGCCCTGAGCTCAAGGGATCCTCGAGCCCAGGGCTCCCCCCCTTTTGCAGGGCGAGTGGAGATTGAGCTCAGGTCTATCTCAAACTCCCCCGCTGCTGAGGCCAAGGCGAACTTCCTGAGAGTAAGACATTATAAAAAAGGTTTAGGCTTGTTTTATCTATAATATAGAGCACATTTGGATGGTGGGAGGAAACCGGGGAACCCGGGGGAAACCCACGCGGACACGGGGAGAACATGCAAACTCCACACAGAAATACCAGATGGCTCAGCGAGGACCCAACACCATTGGTATTCTTGCTGTGAGGCAACAGTGCTAGTCACTGGGCCACCGTGCCGCCCATTCTGGATAAAGGAGGAAGAAGGGGAGGAGGGGGGGTTTCTTCCAGACGAAGATAGTTGTAGAAAGGAAATGAGGATATATATAGTGGTTTGGGATCCTTTGATTGGAGGATCATAATTAGTTAATGTGGACCAGCTGGGTAAATCATGAGAACATGCTTCTCTCGAAATTAGTTTAAAACTAAACTTCACTTAATTACAGCAACTAGTCACTTTATAGACAATTAAACTCAACACTGTTAGGGATGCACTAATATTAAAAGTTAATACTCAGACCAAGAGTTTATATGCAAAAACCATCTGAAATTTCTGTAATTTCTCTATTTTCAGTTTTATGGCAAATAATAGGTTTCTTTTATTGTGTTTAAAGTAAAATAACTGAACATAATCATATGAGGCTGAGATAAAATGCTGTTTATAAGAAAATTTATTATGGCACTTCTCTGGAACTCTCTAAATACAGATGACAAAAAAACAAACAAAAAAAAAACTACAAAAAAAACAAAAAACAAATGCAAACTGGTTTTATTTTAAAATATTAACATTTTAAAAAGAGGAAATGCAGGAAACTGAAAGGAAATAACTTTTGAAAATAATTTACTGATTGTAGTTTTGACCCATGTAACTAGTACAAAAAACATGATGTTTACAAAATGCAATAAATGTATCTTTAAATTATCACACTAAACAAATATACTCAAATATCCCCTATTATTATCATTGTACATAGATTTTTTTCAAGTAGTGCTAATAAATTATTGTACTATCTTACAAAATATTTCAGCTATACTTGCATGCTACACTGATTATGTTAAATATCATCAATTTTCCCTCTGTTTTTGTCAGCTGTGTCCGGCCTCCATGTAACGTGGACCCCAAGAGAAGGAAATGTAAGGAAAATGAGTATTTCAGTGAGGAACTGTGTCACTGTATACCCACATACTGGGGAAGACTGGACTAAACCCAACCAACAGTGCAGATGGCGCTGAATGCTAACGGACAATGGCATTTGAAGCAGTGCGAACGTTCGGCTACTGCTTATCAGACTCACATGCGTAGTCATGTGGACTAGCAATGGAGAAACTGGGAGACACACACAAAAAAGTCTACATTCAACCCCACATATCAAGCATGGGCTGAGCTATCCAGGACTGAAAGACAGAAAAGCCACGAGCCATGTTTTTGTCGGATAATGATTATATAATTTATTGCCATGAAATGTTTTGCAACTCATTCATTTCGAACCTTTGCAAAGACAAAAAAAAAGGAAAAAAGAAAAACACTGTGATCAATATTTTTGTATCATGTTAAGTCCAGTAAAATAAAGTATAAAGTTGTATATTGTTAACTTATTTATAAGCTAGACTATCTTATTAAAGTAATACTGCACATGATTCAAATGTATTCAGTTTTGACTACCAAATATATGCATCTTTCATCATTCCATATTAAACTTCATCAAAGCGATCATGCAAAGCCAGCAAAAAAATATGTTTGTTGACAATCTAAGACCATCACAACGCAAGTGAAAAGGCAGGGAAAAAACAGCATCTGCAAAATCTGGAAAACCGGTGCTACATAGACATGACTGACAATATACACATGGATGAATGAATTCCACTTACGTCACATTGTGAAAGCAGTATAAGGTGAAAATTATGTTGTGAATGACTTCTAAGCTTGGAGATCAGTGGTCGCATCAAGACTCCTGACCTCAATGGGTGTGTAAATAGAAGCAATGTGATTGGCCCGACTCCACTTGGTATCCGCCCACTGTTTCAGCTTGACACTGTAAATATAATAAATCACCTCTGCTTCCATCCTAGTCCTTGCGTCTATGCCTGCCAAAAGTGTGCGTGTGATTTTTCACTGTTTCTCATTCCGCAAAAACCCCCTGTAGCTCCATAATCTTCAAGCCATCAGATGGGACGGATCAGTAATGAGCTAAATCCAGCACGTATTTTGTCTTCTAGCATATTCGTACAGCAGGTGGCCTCTTGTGTTTTAACCTCAGCCAACACACATTTATATATATATTTATTTATGCACTCTTCCTCCTTTTCTGCAGGGCTTTTTAGATCTAAAGTCATATCACTTTTGCATCTGGACTGTATTACCTCTTCCGTCCGCATACTTTGACATGCTAGTATGGATTTTATGCTGTAAAACTGTGGACCATTTATCTGTTTCCAGCAAAAATGAGGGTTTCCCCTGCAAACCTGGATTGCAACAGTTTGTACCATAGCCATCTGCATCCGCTGCACAATCCCTAGAGAGACCTGATAAAAATAACATGTGTGCACTCACACTGAATCACCATGAAATAACTAGAAGCAGCAGCCCGGTCAGAGGATGTAAGTATTTGAAGCCACGTCTAGTTTGATTTTCCCCTTTGCGGTGGCTTGCTTACCTTGTTCGCAGTGGTGAATGAAGATGAGGTTTACATTTCAACATGCAGCCAACACAGAGTTTTCGTCTGGCGCTTGACTATTGCAGCAAACTAGAAAAGAAAACAAGTACAGACATGTAAATAAATGAGTGGGTTGTTCTGTTCATTTCAACGACTAGAGTTTCAGACGTCCCAGCTACAATGTAAACAAAAATAAGCAGTGACTGAAACGCAGCAAAACAATGAATTTACGGACAAACACTGGATAGCGCAAATGCATAGAAAAATTTGTGGTAGCAGGATCATGTCAATAAGCAGAAATATGTTGTTATGCGGTGAAGAAATTTCCCTGTGTGTGGTCGTGGGAACCTCAGCTAGAGGTCATCAAATAAAATTGTAAAGTCCATAAAAACTGTAATTTCTGCTTGTATTGTTTTTTTTTTTTTTCACCTGAACGAGCTCCAGTATATTCACCTGGGATCAGTTAGGTATCTGCTAAATTGCCAGGCTTTTCATTGCAGCTGAGATCACTCTGAAGTAACTGATCTCACCTGTGTGTGAATTTAATATGGATGTGTGTACAAAATTAAAATGTAATCGGTAAAATATATCATTCTCTTCATGCATATAAGCTACCCACCCTAACAGGTCTGCATTGTTTGTTTGCATGTATAATTAGAGAAAAAGGAGTGTTTATTTTCATAGCTGATTGAGGAAATCAGCCTTTTTGTTGCATTACTAAGAGGCTGGCAGTCCCTAGTAATTTGAAAAAAAATTACAACATGGGGATTTCACATTGATTCCATAGAGGAAGCTTTAACAACATTTTCAGTGAAAAGTTTGCGACACCATATGTAAAATTTCCAGATCGCTTTTTAAAGTTAATTTGCCATAAGTAGCATAGAGTTTGTCATATCCAGACAGAAATCATGTACATGAAAGTTGTGATAAATTTTATAATCATTGTGATTTGATCATACAGTTGGTCAGAATTATTAGCCCCCCTTTGGATTGTTTTTCTTTTAAAAATATTTCCTAAATGATGTTTAACAGAGCAAGGAAATTTTCACAGTATGTCTGATAATATTTTTTCTTTTGGAGACAGTCTTATTTGTTTTATTTTCGCTAGAATAAAAGCTGTTTTTAATAATAATAACAATAATAAAACAAACATTTTAAAGACAAAATTATTAGCCCCTTTAAACATTTTTTTCCCCGGTTTGTCAACAGAATAAACCATCATTACATTAACTTGCCTAATTACCCTAACCTGCCTAGTTAACCTGATTAACCTAGTTAAGCCTTTAAATGTCACTTTAAGCTATATATATATATATATATATATTTATATATATATATATTTTTTATTTTTTTTTTCTCCACTCTACAAAAATTGTCAAAAAGTAGCAAAGTAAAATTTAATATTACAACAGTTAATTTTATTTGTCAAGATAAATTGTATGGTGAAAGCACTGTTTTATTGTATGTGGTCAAAATTATTATAAAAATACTTTTGGGTTTGCTAAACTTTGATATTTTATAATGTTACTGTAATAATGTATGAAATGATGAGACAATTGTTGAATAGTGCAGTAAGATATATTGGTAACACTTTACAATAAGGTTCATTAGTTAATGCATTTACTAACATTAAATAATCATGTACAACACATGTACAGCATTTATTAATCATAATTGAACATTTACTAATGCATTATTAACATTCAAGTCCATGCTTGTTAACATTAGTTAATGCACCATGAGTTAACGAACTAAAAATAAACAACTGTATTTTCATTATCTAACGTTTATTAACATGAATAAATACTGTAGTAAATGTTTTGTTCATTGTTTGTTCATGTTAGTAAATACATTACTTAACATTAACTAATGAACCTTATTGTAAAGTGTGACCGATATATTGATATTACAATAACAGAGGCATGCAAACAGTAGATCACCTGTGTAATAAGACACATGGCGGAACCACATCTCTATCTCTATGTAGTACAAGTTTGTGATAATCTGGCTATCTTAGACATGTCTGCCCAACCTCACAGGAGAAAATGTAACTTTTAACGTATTGGCCAATGAGTGACCGATTAATACAAATTCATACAATACCGTTGGTACAGAAGATCTCTAACTTTTGAAAGGAGGGCTGTCCCTTACTGGCTGCAGAGCCACTTGAGCTCCAGCGAGGGGGAGCTTGAGCTCCAACTCTTCCTTCTATAAGCTGTTTTAGTGTGTACACCCACCCCACTCCTAACCCCAACCCCCAGTGACATCACTTGCAGAAGGAGTGCGAGGAAGGAGGAGCTGGAGCTTCCCCTTGCTGGAGCTCAGCTTTGCCCAAGTGGCTCTACAGTAAGCACCACTTGCTAACCCCAACTCTAAATATAAACATCACAGGGTGTAAACAGGTTGTACTTATTCATAAGAAAAAATTTAAATAAATCAATACATTTAGAATTGCAGTGAGATCGTGTTAGAATTGTCAATATCGATTTTCATTTTACTGCTCCTCTTTTCTCAAAACCTCCTGGATTCACTAACTCGTATGTGCACATTTCCTATATGGAAATAAAACTAACATCCTAAGGTTGTTTGATATGCCTCCATGGATGGGAAACACCAGGAAATGGACAACAGCACTAGTTAAAATCTCTGATTTCACAGAATGTAGTGTTTTTCGAGACTTTGTAATGTTCAATTTGAATGTTTTTAAATGATTTCTTTAGTGGAATCAATGGTTGAAAAACTTTTGACATTACAACAGTAGTTTACATTCCAGAAATGTTAGCTTGTTGCTTGCTGTATTGTATTATGTGTACTGGTAATGTTAGAAACAGTGAGCACATTTAATATTTCTTATAATCAACATAATGTCAGAAGACAGACCATCAAAATATAAGTGTTACAGACACTCAACTAATACTCCGAATGCTAATGTATGGTGTAGTTACAAAGTTACTAATAGTCACAAGAATGTCTAAAGTGAGCACATTAAAATAAAGTGCTACCACATAGTGGAACAATGCTAATATTGGAGGAACATTCTGTATTCTCAAATGATTGAGACATGGAATGACTCCCTCATAATGTCCCTGACAGACCCAGAAGCAAATACACGGAGGCAGAATATGGAATGACTGATTGGCCCAGAAAACAGACCCCGTTTCTTACTCTCGCTCTCTCAGAGGCCATAAATCATGGATATTTCAGACTTCAGAGTTCCTGAGGGGGTCACAGTTTTTTGGCCTCTTTGCTGCTTTTATAGATCCGGCAGCACTGGGAGTCATGGTTGTCCTGCTGTCAATCAAAGCAGACTATATGAAACGTCTATAGTACAATAACCCTGGTCAACATAACCTACAGGATGCAATCTCAGCATAGCACCTCACCCTCTTCCTGCCCGGCATTTTCCTCCTGGCCTGAAACCACCAAACCGCCACAATAAACACAAGTGCAAGAAGGTAAACACCTCCCAACCACTCCTCCGCTAAGAGATTAAGGCTTCCTCTAAATCACACCCTTCTGGAGTAGCTCGTGAAGGAAAAAGGAGGACGTCGCCTTATTTCCCACGTCTCTGCCTTTCAGCAAATCCATCAGTCACAAGCAGACTCCAGCACGCAGGATCCCACACAAGCTTCGGGATGACCTGCGTCAGAAAAGGTCTAAATGTTCATCTCTTGAAAATGATAGCAGGTTCAGGGTGCTGAAAAATGAGCTGCTGCTGTAAACAGCAGCCAACTTCATCTCTTTGCTGACAACGAAAGCCAGAATAAGCAGCGGTGTGCCCTGCTGGGAGTTTTTTTAGACTGTGGGAAAAGGAAACCATTAAGAGATTATGAAAAATTAATTGAAAGGGCAAGAAAGAGAGGATGTGGATATTGGCAAGTTGGGAGGGTGTTTTCCTTTGGGCAATTAAAGCCACCCTTTGGATGTCTGTGAAGAAACAGCCAGGGGTCAACAGACGCCCTGCTTTAGACACACAGACTTCTCAGAATCCATCTATCTGTCTAGGATCTTTCCCTATAGTGTGTCATTTAAACTTAAACACGACATTCCATCTTTTTTGCAGAGCCTAAAATAATTGCAATTAATCAAGATAAGCTTTTAAATGTAGATGCCATTTCAAGCCATTATGTCTACTATCATTTGGAAAATATGACCCTGAATGAACAGCTGCACACTTTGATGTATTTTGATGTTGAATTGTAGTATTTCATTTTCCCAGTATTATGTCAAGACTTTATTTGCATCAAGGAGAATAAACATGGAACCAGACAAAAAAAATGGATATAAAAATCACATTTTATACTGGAGGTCTAAACCAATCCAATCGAAATGATCAGATTACAGTGATCGCCCCCAAAAAAACAAACGAAAAAACAATGCGGTCTCATTTGGAGAGGAATATTAGTGACCAGTTC